AAAAATCATTTCCTTAATCCACAAAACTTTATCGATGCTAGTGCAATCATGCAATGAGACCGACTAATTCATCGATGTAGCATTATGATAAATGAATATGTTATGATTTCAAAGTCGTACCCAAAAATTAAATATGTCAATGATCACTCTGTAAGATGCAGGGATTCCGTACGAGTCTACTTATACAGTACTGGGCATCGGCCCATAAGATATCAACAGTTACTGAATCCAATATCCACATCCTTGATAAGAAGAAATGAAAGATATGATTAAATATGTTCTCGGCATTTTATTTATAATGTGCGGGTTACCTATAGTAGAATCACGGTTTTGTAAATTGAATTGATAGAAAATTGTCGAGTTAAGACAGAATACTATTCTAACGTACAGGGTTGATCGGAAGAGTCTATAGTGATTTCTTGTATAACCTTTCAAGACTATGTTCATCTATATATATATGTAGGTGTGCAACACAGGTCGATCGTCGATTCAATTTCGATTCAAATGTCTCTACTACAGATTTGCTAACACTTGTCAATGTCATAGTCTTCCACCGAATAGAAGAAATTGCGTCACAAGCCACCTTAAATTTTGGTCGAGATAGTTGATTAACTTGCAGGAAATACCGTTCTCGCGTCAATATAGACAGCCTTTAATAGTGGGTAAGTCCTGATAAGTATACCCTGACGTGAAAGCTTATGATTTTGTTTTCATTTTGATCAAATGAGAGCAATTTCGCACGATGCTTTGGTTTGAACTTTATGAAGAGGGACAAGTTTATGTAACGCTGGCATCCTATAAGTCATATTTGATTCTGACCAGGACTCGTAAACGTCAGCGTTTAATCAGTGCTTCCTGCTACGATACAGTGATCAATTCTTTGATAAAATGTCTTGACCAGAGATATAAAGCCTTAAATAAGTTTATATGAGCGCCATTGAGTTACAAAGATCGGTACAAAACTGTGCATTTTATCCGCGCATGGTCGTTTCTCATCTCATATTTTGCTTTGTACTTTTTGACGTGTATTGCATTTAAAATTGGTGGCTTTGCGGGTTGGCTGTTTGAGATGGATTTGATTCAAGCGGTCGCTGTAGAAGTCGTCCCTACAAGACAATCCATTTAATCTTCATCATAACAATCGTATCAATTGATGACTAAAGTTCAATAGATACATAACATAGGCTCTGTATAAAAGCAACTTAATTGTACATTGTATATGCAATGCACGCATCCTTTTATGCGGTTTTTTTTAAAGTTGCATATAAAATATGTGCCGGTCTTGGTGAAATCTATTGTGCACGATCTTTCCGTAAGTGCAACTCATCAATTTGTTGGCTTGAAATCAATTGTAGAAATGTAAGGCAAATAATTTAGTGTAGGTAGGTGTTGAATGGATTCCGTCTGCTGTGATAATTTTAGCGGGCCCAATCTGTTCTATAGCATTCGTTTCAACATTCCTAATCTATGTAATGTTTGCTTGCGCCTTCCCAAATACTCATTTATATTTACCGGAGTTTGGTTTATTGACACGGCTTTAATGTTTATCGATATAATCATCTATTTTTATCGTACTTCCACGACTCTTCTTTTAAAAGCTTTTCTGCGTTTTGTATCTATCATGTAGTATAAATAGAAAACGCTACTTGGCTATCAAGATGAAGAGTCAAAAGAATCCTGTATTGACAGATACGCTTCGATAATAGATAACAATAGTTTACCTCATTCACTTAAAGTATGATCGTTACTTGTTTATATCGCTACGATTATAAGTGAGGCTTGATAAATGACAACAGTCATTTAAACTTACAAAAAAAATATTTTTCGAGACGTCTCGAGATTATACATTAATACGTTGCATACCGATTCTGAGCCAATTTCGGCGTAGAAACCATCTTCGCACAGAATTCTTAATAAAAGAATATGCATAAAAGAATAAATACGTTTTGGAGAGATATCAGTATCCGGAAATTTATACTCATGGAAATTGCATACACATCGAGAAAAAAACCTGTAGATAACGAATCAGCGATGTTGAAGAAAAAGATAAATGATTATAGAATTGTCTTCTAGCAAAACACATAATAACTGCTATCGCCAATCGTCCATTATACCTAAATGCGACGTCGACTCGAAGGACAACAATAAAAGCAGGTATCAGGTGTGCATTTTCCTCTGATGTTAAAAGTACTATTCCGGTGTTGCTAAGATCATCTTACCTACAGTACCTTTACCGATCTAGTAATCTTTAGAAGATGGCTTATTGTCACTAGCATCGTGAGCCAAGTGACTATAATGAGCTGCAAGGTATAAATATACTTTATTTGAATGGTACGTTTGCTTTCCGAAAAGGTAATATTATATTTATGCTAACGTATCGAAAACCCACGTTTGAAATAAAAAAGGCTTCATTTTATTCTTGTGTACCGAACAAATATGACCAAAACAATTCGCTTTGTCGATCAAAGACACTACTTGGCTTTATACTACATCATGATAAGCTATTGGTGTAGTACAGCTTTCTCTAATAGCATTGCACATTTGCGAGCGCGAAATGACACGTCTGTATAGCATCTCGCCATTTTATACTTTTTGCCCAACAAGACGACATAGCGTCGATTCGATATGGCTCATCTTTCGCTCCCGTCTGTAATTTACATGCAAGGATGTATTAAGACGCGCGTTCACTCTCACTAAAGATAAGAAGTAAGAAGCTTAGTTATGCACTGCAAAGTATTTCGTTCAATGATACATTATTATATACTGTAACATTGTGGGTATCGTGTGTATCGACAGGTACCGCGTTTAGTGCTAAGTTAGTCTTGCAGCTTGGTAAAATCGCGGGGCAGGAATCCGACTTGTGGCGGCTATTAAAAAGAGTTTTACTCGGGATTTTTCATGATTTTATTAAATATACAAATTTCATTATCGCAGAGAAAGTTGACCAGGTTAAAGACTTTGCGCCTTCAAGTTCGACATCGTTAAACGAACGAGTATGGGACTTGATTGGATGCTAAGTCCCTTATAAAAGTGTATAATCTTGGCTTGTAAAGTCGGAATGAATCCTTCTCGACACTTTTTAACGTGGTTTTGTCAATCTATGTCAACTTATATTTTGAAGGGGCGAATTTCGTGAAAGGACCCCGACAATTATAATGAGTTTTTTGCTGATATCAATAATCTTAACATTTGGTCACCATCTTATCGCCACTGCTTCAGCTGCCACGAATCTTGCGAGAGACGTTCTGTTTCCATTTTGTAGCGTTGCTACTGAATCTTCTAGCCAGAGTAAAGCTTTAGCGCAGGCATCCACTTATCCCTTAAGACTAAAAACGACTTGAGAATTATGCTCGTCTGCTAGAAGTCTCCGCCAATATAAGTGACCAACCAATGCTCGGGTACCTACCTACCCAGCTACGCCTTGGACCCAATGCCACTCCTTGATTGCTTTGCCACCATTTAGTAACAATAAAAAACCATTCCGTATTAGAATCATGATTATATACTTTGTTCTCTTTACAACATCATGCATATCGACTTAACAATCTGCGTCTACTGTGTAGGTAGGATTTCCTAGCTACAAACGAATATAAATCAAGAACGTGCTCAAGCGAGTTGGCGTAAGCGAGTTGAACGAGCAAAATTATCGGCGTCTAGATGGCGTTCGATCGTATGAAGATCAGCACGCTCGCGTATCGAGACGTCTTGCAGCTCGTTGCTGCGTGAAATCTGGATATCAGGAAGCAGTGTCAGCGCTATTTAAAGACCAAGCAAGCCATGGCGAACACGTTGTTTCATGTTATACACGAGATAGCAGCTAAATGTTGACAAGCAGAAACGTTTTGGTGAAGGAAAATGTGGTACGGGACGCTGCCGTCACCAAGTGTGTTGCAGTGGTATCCCCAAATAGCAAGCAGGAACGTTTCCGGTGAGCGAATCTGTGGTAAGTCGCTGCCATCACCGAGTGTGTTGCACATCTGTTCCAGATGGGATTCCTGTCTTGTGACGTGCGTTCATTGAGAAAAGAGAAATTGAGCTGGATGACGAGCATATGTTGAGGAGTAAACGGCAGAGCTCAGCTATCGGTGCAGCTGTCCGCATCGCTACCGGTGTCTAATGTCATCCAACCACAATTGAACATGTGTGAACACGGTCGGCGTAGACATGCCGCCAGATGTCGACTTGTCGCGCGATAAGTGTGGAGACTGCTTCACTGCATGCGGCGAAGCAATGCGTTGGATGGTCGTGCCGTATTCGTGGCTTGGTCGTGGCGTGGATGCAGCTGTCGTAGCTTTGTCGTGGCTTGTTCGCCTAGAGAGTGGACCGCATCTTCATACTTATCTACTGCATCTATGAATGTTTGGCGACACAGAGAGTGGCAGCAATCGTGCTAACCTTATATCAGCTCTAACCTGATCATCCTCTTCGACCCACCTCAGTGAAGCCACCTAACAGCATGTCTTATCGACGAGTTTTCGATGCGATTTCTTCAGTCACTCGTGGCGCAAATTGATCCACTTCTGCCATTCATCGAAGCACCACCCGCGACCACCTTTGCTGTTCAGCCGACTACGTATTCGAGGTGATACTGAACATGTGGCATCGAGTTCTGCCCTCGAATATCAATGCGTTTGTCTTGTTACCTGGTGAATGGTGGTCTGACATCCGGGCGGCCGGTATCAATCGGTCGGGACGAGAGGCACTGTCGTCCGCTCTATCTTCCTTACGTGCCCATTCATTGACCGCATGCATTTGGACAGAGTCAGTCAAAGGGAATACGCTTCTGCCCATTGCTTCGGTGGGACGCTTCAGGTCCTTTCATCGGTCGACAAGGCAACAACAGAGACTTTACTGATCGACATCGACCGTTTTCATTGCAAAATGCGTTTATTGCGACGTAGACTCGAAGTAGCCCCATGCTGACTAAGAAGATCTGCCATTGACAACTGACTACCGCTAGCTAGCAAAAAACAGCAGACTTCCTACTCTTCACAGACCAACTACGATTGATACGAAAGGGGGACTCCAGTCAGCAATGTCATGCCCATCGGCGTCACCGGTGTTGGGGATGCCACCTCGCGACACCCAGCGACTTGATCGGCGTTCAACTTCACTTCCACGTTGTCCACAAACGACACGGTGAGGACCATTCCGTTGCCCGTGATCGTCATCGTCGTGTATCGCTCCGTTTCACACACGACATAGGATTGACCATCGACCGTGAAAGGGGACAGGTTTCTCGCGCACGGGCTACCGGCTACTGGAGCACTGACCGTCACGTTCATGAGGGCACGGACGATCCCGTTGATCGGTGGGACCACGTACGGACCCGTTTCCGATTCCAAACACAGGGGACGCTTCAGTGGGTTCGGGTCGGTCACGGCACGACCCTCCACCATCACGTAGGAGGAGACCGACGTGTAATGCGCAGACGGATCGTTGATCGAGTTGAAAGAGGCGTTGACATTGTAGAGCACCTCCTCCTGGCCGAACGACAAGACCGGGCTGGCGTACAAGGGGTACTGGTTGTAAGGAGGATGGGAGTCCGTCAACCTGACGACAACCGAAAGGCCTCGCCATTGCGTGATTGGCGTGTCGTCGATAACAATCGGTTGGCGAATGAAGGATGGCGCTGCGTGTGTCTCTGCGAACGAAAGCAGAACAGTGAGGGCCGTCGACAAGCACAGAGTAGCAGGTCGCATCTTGACAGCGGGCAAACGAAGTGATGTGCGAGTGATTTGGGGTTCAGCGGCGCAAAGCAAATGCAATTGTGAAGACTTTGTGGACCGTGGATACCGTGTCTCGAGTCAGAAAGCGGTCGTGCCAGTGTGTCAGTGGATGCAGCGCAGCGTCATCAACGTGCCATGCGACATTGTCAGCTGGGATGGATAGTCTCGAGGGTTGTGCATCGTTCGTACCTGGCAAAACGAGCGATTATTGTGAATGCAATGACCCTAAAAAAGCGACTGTTTTTGTCTGGACGGCGTGTCTAACCTCAATGAATACCTAGAGAAGGCTACCGTCTATTTTCTGGTAGGCAAACGACCTGTAGCGTCCGCTTCCAATCAAGAGAACGGCCAGCCGTCCGTAATCACGATTGCGCTACAGGTCGGTTTGCCGCTGCTACAGCCGTAATTGGCTCCCTGTCTACCGACCGAAACCAGCTCGTGGGTTGCGACGGAACATGAACGAACTCGTGAGCCCGGCATCGACGACGATCATTTTGGACCACACCAGATGAGTAATGGATGGTGGGTGGGCTTCCACGGCCACTGCTTCGCTGTTCCGGGCGATGATACCTAAAGAGCAAACTCTTTGGCCGATATACTCGCGGACCGATAACCCTCGGGTTTTGGATTGTTGCGGGGGGCCCTATTAGCTAGGAAGCATGACACCAATTAGCCTTGAGCCATCGTGGAGCTGGCCTGCAGAGGGTCGGAGTCCACACCTACTTTTCCGTCGTCTCTCCAGCTGGACAAGAGAAGTATGAACAGGTAGTGCTGCGTCGCTGAGGGTGGCGATGCTGCTAAGTGAGTCGGATTCGAAGGTTGGGGGCAGCCTCCACGGTCAGCGGGCCCTGCGCTAGCGGCGCCCACCAGAATTAGTTCTCGCGCATCTGTAGGAACTAATTTCGCTAGGGCGAGTATGGGAAGTTGGCGAGTGCGCGTCTGCTGAGCGGAAGTATCCATTGTGCTCGAACTGGAGAGTGATGGTGTACACTAGAGCATTGCTACGGACAACATACTGGATCAGCGGACAGCGGATGGCTGTCTAACACTATGCCGGAGCCCAGCAGCACGCGGCATTGTCGTAATGACCGATTCATGCGTCTCGCTTGAAAGTCTCGTTTACCTTTTCTTTTAAGTTGTTTTTTTTATTTTGCAAGAGTTACAAAAGGTTGAAATTGGTTTATTACAGTTTGCGTAAGATCGCCTTTTTATTTTTTTCTTCCTTTAATAATAAAAATGATTTATTCTTGAAGGATTTCTATTCATTATTTGATTATTCTGCAAGCTCAGATAAATATTATTTCTCACAAGCAAATAAACTGCTTTACGAATTTTTAAGGGAAACGTTTACCACCCCCAGGTTTTCGTTTACCACCCCCACCCCTATATATTACCGTAATTTATATACTTTCCATGTTTTTGATTGTAGCGCTCAGTGAGCCATCCTCCTTGATGCCGGTGATCACTGCTGCTATGTTGATCGGCTTGGACCAGCCACATGACTGCATTGTGCACAATGAAGAGGAGGAGTAGGCGTCCATACTGCGGTCAATCTCCATTTGAATCGAAACAAAGTCAATTATATTGCCCAGCGGATGCAGACAGTCAATTCGGGGAAACCCTATCGAGGGAATCTCAGTCTGGATCTTGTCAAACGCCACGTCTAGCCACTGCCATCATCAAATTACACGTTAGTCTGGTTCGATAATCGAACAGGTATTACGACGATTGATGTACCTCTTGACAGACCTCAGCGGCTAGCTTGAGGTCAATTTCGAATATTGTATTGTTGGATGCCTTTGTCACAATGCCCATGCAGGATAATCGCTACAAGCTTAACCTGTCCCAGAATCGCTCGTATTAAAGTCTCATTTGGCCGAGCCGTTACTCGGTCAAAAGAAGTAGCTAAATAATCAATTTCAACACGTCACCGACTTAAAGACATGCATAGATTGTTTAGAATAAGTAGCTTGTCATTTGTAAATGAGATTGTAAATTACGTCTTAGACCGGTAATATTCTCGATCCAACCAGTCAGAAGGCGTAAATCGAGTAGATTACGGTAATATACAGGGGTGGGGGTGGTTCACGAAAACCTGGGAGGGTGGTTAACGTTTCCCTTTTTACATTGTTCAATAAAAAACATCTTTTACGGACATCCGCTTGTCTATGGGAATCCATGGAGGGTCCCGGACTCCACACAAGCACGGTTTGTTAGTGTGCAGATTTCATCGTTTTTATTGTTAAAAGGTCCTGGCAATACACTACATCACGCGGTGACCAGGCTTGAGACCGCAGCGCGCAACAGCACTTGGAAATCTGCTGCTCCAGCACTGACTTCTGCGTATCTTTGGGCGCACAACGTCGAGCATACCGGATACCAAGCATCTCTTTGCTATCGATTGGCGGCGAGGCAGTGTAACATTCAATTTGGGAGCAGAGAACTCGACCCCTCTGTGAAAAAGCTTCAATGACGCCGTTGGGTGGTCGAGACGCCAGAACACATCATCGGGGCATGCCGATGTGCTCAGTCTTAGTGGACGAAAAAATATGTCATTGGGCGATGTATCGTTGGGTACTGGACCGACTGCAACGCTTTCTCTCCCATAAATCGAGCTGGTCAGCATTGGCGCTGTCAAAGGTGGCTAAGGACTGTATAGTTCGAGACCATCCAGACAATAGGTGCGATTATGCGCTAGTCTGGAGGAGGCTATGGAGACTGCTCAGCAGCATTTGTCCCACAATGTGCGAATGCAGCGTAATCTCACTATTTTTTTACTGCGAGGAAGTAAATCTCACAGGAAGCATGTTGGATATCTAATATACATTACTGTGACAAATTCGAGCAGTTTCGAAGCAGAACTTTCGCAGAGACGAGATCGATATTCAAGGAATACGCCTGCTTTATTGTCTGCGCCAACTAGCCATAAAACCCATGAGAGCCGTGACCAGCCGTGACTAGCCCCGTACAACAACCGGGCTTAAACTAGGTACCCGCACTTCTAACGAGGCTTAAGCTATATCAGACATCAGACAACCAGTACAAGGTTAAATAACACGTCTGATTCTCTCTGTTTCCATCCAATTCGACAAGGGGGAGCTCAAATTTTTTATCCGAAGGTGTGTGGTGGAGTGGAAATCACAAGATTCTTTTGACCCCGAGATTCCACTCGCTATCGAATGGGTGCTACGTTTCCGTGTGTTAAGTTTCCTTCCTCACCTTGTATAATCGTCGGTAGGGAGGGATGCACCCTTCTACGTGGACTCTTGTCGATGGAAAACTTTACATTGTTTGGGATGGGTTGGTGATCGTATGGAAGACTTCACACGATCACGGGTATACTTATAGGGAGCTCGATATAAGTCAACTGATCTCGATGGGATCGCCTTGACCAACACGTTGATACTTGATCCGCTTGACCTTCTGATTAGTTGAGCCGTCTCACGGTCTTTTACCTTATCATCGTCTATGTTGCTACGTCCGATCGCAGTCCGGTGTTGTCTTGAGATTGCTTGATCCCCAGCCAAACAATATAGGGATATCATTTGATCAGAGGATCCGACTTTTTCTGACGTCGATTGGTCAGTAATACAACCCGGACTAGAATTAAACACGTGTACTTAGACGTAAACCGAACTATGTTTTAAGTTTATCCAATCAATCCAAACCTACCACCATACTTACCGGAGGCTCCGGATCTGCTGACGTCACCTTGCACGACGTGTTCCACTTCATGCACTCTTCAACTAGCCGGTTGCAAATCGCCTGGTGTTGTGCACACCTACCTGATCGAGATCGCGTTCCTGATCGCGATCGCGTGTGTGGTACGCATCAACCTGATCGATCGCTTTCTTATTCGCGATCCCCACCCCAATCGCAATTGCGTCCTTCCGTTTCAAAATGCTCGATCGCTTTATCCCACATTTGTTTGAATCTCATGTATACATATGATGCAAGTTATCATTCGGTTTGATCCATGCGATTGGTTGCCATCGCATGTTATTCTATTTTTACCACAGAACTTTTGTCGTTTGGAACACACCATCTTAACACAGGTCGAGCATAACCTTATATAAAATCGACATTGACGTTTTTTTGCTTGATATGCGTGCTTACAGTCGCAACTTCATTGTTTTTTGCAGCGAGGCTGGACAAACAGAAGTCGAATTATGGGCCGTATTCTGTCAAGACTAACTTGCGTGTCATCTTGGATGTCTCGTCAACAAAAGAATGCGACATGGAAATGGTTGTGTCAACAGATATAGTCGCGGTGTATAGTACCTAGCATTGTCTCTTTACGGCAAGTATGATACGGTTGCTATGTGGAAGATATTGTAATGGTATAATGAGCACGAGAAGTGCAAAGCGCAGTGTGAATCCGTTAGTACGGCGCGCAGATATTGGTATACAATAATCACTCCGTGTAGTTACATTCACGGTGAACGATATCTTATTAACGTCTAGTCTATCAATGAGCAAATTTTACGCTCGACTGCCTCCTATGACCTCACTCATATAGGTGAAAACTTCACGCGTGGCGTGGAATCTATCCTGACCTAATGAGTCGATGATGAATGTGTTTATGGTCTTTAGATAGACGACGACGTACTGCTAAGCAAATGGGCACTTCCCGCTTATGCTGATGGATTGCAGGCTATCTAGACGTAACATATTCAAGCAATTACGCTGGCATGCCTCAACACTGCCGACGTGAGCTTTGGAAGGTCATGTACACTATCGTAAGAAAGTGCTGACAATTAATCGACACCTCTTGGCTTATTGGAAAAGAGAACTGTGTCAAGCGCATTTGATGTCGTTCTAGTCACGTATTGCTAATTCTTGTCAATCAAGACGTGGTAGATACTATTTGCTTGCTTTTCATTGCGCGCGTCCGTTTCTGATCGGTGACATTGTTGGCTTTTACGACGGCCTAATAAGTTAATGGGCAGTTCGTTACTATATATTGCTGTAAATTAACCTTACAAGCAATAAAAATAATAATCATACTACAGTCACGCCTCTCTATAAGAGACACCCTCTATATAAGGGTCACAGTGTCGCCGAACATTTCAAACTATGTAGGAATTTGTATACTGTTCTCTTTATAATCGAGTAAGATATAAGACACGAAAAACACTCGCCCATTTGAGGTAAAAAAAACCCTCTTTATGTGACTCACTACACCTACTTCTGATGCTGAAAGAGATACGTGGCCTATGATGTGACAGTTCTTCTAGCCGAAGATTTGCCTTAAACCTATTCAGCAACGTCATAGAACCACAGACGTGACCTAGGGAAAGACATAGAGCATGTCATAATAGGCGAGCTTATGAGGCCCATATTACCGATGACGTCATGACGACAGATACAGAATACGAAATCTAATGACTTCGCAAGGCAATAGATAGGGAGAAAAAAAATAATTTTCGTAAATACTCGACTACACCACTGATACAACACCTCTACATAAGAACATCAAGCCCGTGCAACCAATGAGTTCAACAAAGCTAGTATCCCTCTCTCTCTCTCTCCTCGATCAGAAGTAATTGGTCTTTCAATACGTCAAAGAACGCCCAAACATCCGCTTTTACGAAGTGCAGACTTATGTGAGCATTCAATTCCAGCACAGCATTAGTAAATCAACGGCGCATCGGCTCATGGCCATGAAAGAAATCGACTTTGAGGGCTTAAACCCTAACGTAAAAAGAATCGACATTTAAAGTATCCTGAGTTCGAAAAGGAGCTGCTGAAATTCGTTCTCGAGCGCGAAAGTGACGGGTTATCTGAACATATGGTCCTGGAGAAAGCAGACCGACTGCGAGTGAGATTGATATCGAAGATCACGACCTCGAGCTTTCCAAATTCTGGCTCCAGAGTTTCAAGAAGCGGAGGAACATTAAAAACCACGCGTTGACAGGCGAGATCGGGAGCTTGTGCATCAAGGATGTGCAAGCAGCAAAGTCTGAGATCCGATCTGCGATTGGACAGTATTTTCCGAGTGATGTGTTTAATTTTGATGAGGCAGCATTATTTACGACTTGCTACCGAACAAAACCCTATCCACGGTTCAAAATAACGTCAAGAAGAGCGTAAAGTCACGCGTAACAGTTTCTATGTGCTTTAACGCAAGTGGATCTGAAATTCTGGAGCCCATGATCATCGGGAAGTTCAAAACGCCAAGGTGCTGTAAGGGTATGGAGATCGAGAAGCGTGGCATCGTATACGCTGCGAACTCAAACGCCTGGATGACTGAAAATTATTTTTGGTAAGTTGACTGCATCGATTTATTCTTCGAATGCATGGTCTCAAAGTCCTGCTACTTCTCGATAATGCTTCCAGTCACAAGGTCCAACAAGAACCCAACAACGTCAATGTGGTTATATTTTCGCCTAGCATGACTTCCACTATCCAGCCGCTCGATGCAGGTACGCATTAAGCTCATAATTTATATATGTACGTCTTATATCTACATTAATCTCCTCACCTACATATATGTTTTATAGGTATCTTCCGATCGTTTAAAGCTCGCTACAAGAAACTTCATATGCGATGGCGCATGGATCGGATCGAAGCAAACATGAAACGCAGACTTAATGTCTTAGAATCCATTGAGTTTGCGGATGAGAGCTGGAACAGTATTGACGGGGAGATCACACGAAGTTTCCGGATCAAGATCGGGATCATCGAAGCGCCACAGGTTGAGGATTTGCGTGCACAAAACGACTATCGACAGTCCATTCTCGCCTTCCAACAAGACTGCTGCGATCTAGCTGATATGTTTCGAAAGCTTAGTGTAGCCGTTAGCGTGGATGATTATTTCGAAATCGAGGACCACGAGCAGATTCACGAAGAACAAGAAGCTCTGATTGAAGCAGGAGTGGAACCCGCGAAAGTCGAAAGCGACGAAGATCAAGCGCCTGTCAGTGCAAAAGAAGCACTAAAGTGTTGCCTGCTTTTGCGTTCGTACTTCATACGCTCAGATGAGGACACGCGAATCATACAGTCAGATCTGGATAAGATGTCGTCGGTTATTCGCAAGAACCGGCATGCTAGGGCGAAACAGCTGGACATGAGAGACTTCATATAGTAGAATAACGCAACGTATCATTACATTCGTGGATTACGCTTTAAAAATATCATGCAACTTCTTCCTTTCAGATTCTCTATTAGAGACTTTTTACAAAACACGCTGTAAAAATTGGGCACAAAGTTGTCGCTTATAAAGAGGGGTGAGTGTACCGATCATGATATTAGTGTAAATATTGTATGCTAACATCCGGTTAGAGAATAACATCAAACGTGTGAGAAGAGCGATGTGCTACGTCACCGCAGCTGCGGGACGTAGCGAGAAGTCAACATGTTTCTTTGACGATAGTTCCTCAACTTGCAGTCATTCTCAGACCTATGGCACACACCTGTCTTATGCCACACTTATAAGCGACTGGTGGCCATGATCGCGTCTATATCTGTGACAACGAGGCAACGTTGTCAACGGGGCGACGTTGTCGCTAACAAAGACCTGCTCGAGTCTGACACCGACACCAGCGAGAATTCCGATGCTTGCTGGGCTGGAATTGCTGGCCACCGCAAATTCTTCAGCCACTTCACATTTATGAGATGGGGTCTACGCTATCTCTGCCGACTAAGCTCGTAGCAGAGTCCAGACCAACGAAAAAAACAGTGGTCGTTGCATCGACGATGCGAAAACGCATGAACGACGACTTCGTGCGAGAGAAAAGACGAACGACCGCGTCAGTAGATCGATCGCATTCAAGTGCAGCCCCACAACTTAACAACTCGACGTCATGCAGTATTACTTGGGTGTTTTTAACATTAACAAAACGTGTACTCTATCAGTATTGAGACGTAGACGCTCATTTCCTGTCTTCCTCGACAATGAAGCACGGAAACTTTCGTAGATTCGGTAGCGCATCCATAGGTGCAAACGCATCGAGAAATTCGGTGTTTGGGGACAGCCAGTCGTCCATCAGCATGCCTTCTGTGAACGACCCTTCCGTGTTAGCTGGGTTGTAATGATACGCGCTCTCCGGATTCAAGGACCACATGAACCCACCAGCATACTTCTTCTCCATCAGCACTTGCACCGTCAGATCGGTTGTGCGCTTGATCGTCTTTTTCGGGTGCTCATCTTTGGCGTACAAGCCCGCAAACTCTCCAAGCAGCAAAGCGTAGCCCTTTTCCTCAACCAAATAACCAAACATGTCGTGCATCGTGTCCTGCACCCGGGCGAGAAGATCTTCATCGGACAGCTCCACGTAAGTCGAAAAGTCCGGCGTCGTTCCGTTTCCGTAGAAGTAATGCTGGGGTGCTACAGCGCTCGTGTAGTAGTGAGGAGCCCACACGACCTTGTTCTCAATTGTGAACTGGGGCTGCGTGTCTCCTGCTTTCTGTAACCCACCGCCCCACCAATCGTAGTAAATCTGCTCCTCGCCGCCGATCGTTGCGGTGTGGGAAGCTACCACACCCTCAACGAATCCGAGCCATTGCGGGCAATTGCCATGCATGACCTTGGCAATTTTCTCGCAGCCCACGACAAAGTCGTCGTCGTCTCCAGTTCCCCACGTTGCAACCTCAGGTTCGTTTTTCAAATCGATCCCCATGACATTCCAGTACTCTTGTCCGCACAAGTTCGAGGACACGATGTCAACTGCATTCAAAAAATCCTCTTGCGTCACGTCAAGGTCTGCATCGTACCACGTTGCGCCCGATTTCATGTTCGTAAGTCGGTGCATACTAATCAATACACCGATCTTGCGGTACGCGAGCGACTTGACGAGCGTCTGTAGCGTCGAGATGAAGCTTGTACCATTAATCGCGCGATTGCTCGACAAGTTGATCACACCTTTCTGGGGCGCATTGTTCTTGAGCACGTTCTCTACCGACACGGGCAATCGTACTGCGTTGAAGTTGTTTCGCGCTAAAAACGCGGCGATCTCGTACTGCACACACACACACACCTCTCGAGTTAGACACCACTGCATTATCCACTTTAGCCACAAGACAAAGCCACTGACTGCTGTAGTTCCGTTTTCTGCGTTCTCCCAGAGCCCGAACGGAGCTGCCACCACTGTTTCCATACCAAACCAATTGATGCCTTTGATCTGGATCGGCACTTCCGTGCCATTAGCCGCAACGGCGACGATCTGACCGTTTTTGCTCTGGTAGTCAGGCAGCTCGCACCCTGTAGTCAACATGCATAGCAAATCGTGTGAAATTGTACATCCTCGACGACACGCGACTGCACTATAAACTTCGGAGGCACGTACTCATGCCGGTGTCGTACGACCTGGGATTGCCCAATTGACCGTCGTCCGAAACGATCATGCTCTCATCGGTCTTGCCGTCTTTGATCGACCGTTTCCTGACCACACGCTGCTCGTATCGCATCGCCCTCGCCTTGCGCGCTTCGTAAGTACTCACCGCTCCTTTCGTGAGCAACACGAGGAAGCCCACGACGAGTACACACAACAGCAACAGACCCGGCCAGATCTGGTACATCAACCCAACTCGTCAGTCACTCACTTTCTACCACCACCAGCAGCAGCAGCAGCATTCTACAATCATCACTAGCGTTCGTGCCCTGTGTTGTCCCTTGTAGTCCGCATTGACCTCCGACGTGCCCGACTTCTTGGCTACTAGCCGCTTGTTTTGGTTCTCGTTGGCCGCGTACTTGTGCTCAAGCTGGTCCTTGTACGAGTTCTGGGCCGTCGTGGGGTATCCGACAAAGTCATTCCGAGCGACTTCAGTCTCGATGTGTCTTGGAATCGAGTACACTTCACCCGGTCGCTCCACCGCGAGACGAGCACAGGAGTTCCTCATCTTTTCGAATGCAGCAGCGACGGCCTCGAGCGGTGACTACGGCCGAAAACGTGGCTTCTCATCAGCTAAGCCATCTTATCGCTGTCTATACCACGCAACCGCTGGGTCAACCACATGCCAAGCTGTTCATCAGTGCCCTGTCAAGAAGCGTTCCCAACCCCTTCACGACAGAGGGAACGAGGTCTGTTGCAGTGTTCTGCATAGTTGGCAACCGCACGCAAATATCGCGAGCTATTTCGGTCGTGTGTTGGCGCAACAGGTTCGTGTCGTCCCTGCACGAATCAACCGCAGAGATGCACGTTATGGTGTGCAGGAGGTATAGCAGGAAAAACCACTTGCGAAAACAGAGCAAGCGGCATGAAAAAGTAGTCGTCTTGCACATGATGAAGGAGCGCAGGGTGTCATTGTACCTTTGGCTCACGCATTGCATCGCGCAACAGTCTACCGTTGCCATACTGCCGGCTTCCTGCAAGTACATCGGTGATCGAGACGATAGATACGACGACGATAACGACTGCATCGCTGGTCGATGAACACGTGAAAAATGCCGTGAGAGCAACGCGAATACCTCACTGGAAGAAGACTGTGAATGTACGCGGACGTGCAGCTCGAACCGCCGCACCTTTGGGACACAAAGTCAGCTTAGTAACTTCAGTATGTAAGTCGTGAACGATCATAACTCGCATCTACTCCTCCTTTTCTAACGACGACGCCTCCTCCTCGACTTCCTCGGGGAAACACGGAAACGGCTGGAGGTTCTTCATCTTGTCCAGCGCAGCCATACCTTCGACAAACACCTTGTTCGGTGTGAGCCAGTCGTCCTCGAGCAGACCTTCCGTGAAGTGACCATAAGTGTCGGCCGGATTGAACTGGTACGCGCTCTCGGGGTTCAACGACCACATGTACGCTCCAGCGTACTTTGCTTTGAGCATGACCTCAATCGTGTAATCTGTCGTGCGCTTCGTCGTGAGCATCGGGTGGGCGTCTTTGCTGTACAGTCCAGCGAACTCGCCCATGACCATCGCCGTGTTCGTGTCCTCCTTCAGCAAGTAGCCAAACATTTTTTCCATCGTCTTCTCCACGTTGTTGCGCAGCGTCTTGTCGTCGAGCTCGACGTAGCCCTCGCGCCCACCTTCAGCAGTCTGAGTGCCGCCGTCGTAGAGATACCACGCCGGACTCACGCCAGTGTTGTAGTAGTGCGGTGACCACACTAGCTTGTTTTCAATGTCAAAGACGGGAGGATTCCCGCTGGCGTCGGCCAGCCCTCCGCCCCACCAGTCGAAGAACGTGTCTTCTTTGCCATTTAGCGTGATCGTTCCCTTGGACGCGATGCCCTCGACGAACGCCAGCCAACTCGGACAGCCTTCCAGCATCCGGTTGCCAATCAATGTCGCTCCCTTTTGCCAGTCCGGTGCAGCGCCGCCCCACGAACACTCGTGCGGCTCGTTCTTCAGGTCGAGGCCGACAATGTTCCAGTACTTGGAGCTACACAAGTTCTGCGACAAGATGTCCACTGCTTCGAGGAACTGGTCTTCGGTCACATCGAGCTCCTCGCTGAACCAGGCGCCGCCCGACTTCTTCTGGTCTAGCGTATGGAGACTGATGAGGACAGACACTTGACGGTATCCAAGTGCTTCGACGATCGACTGGATCGTTGTGATGTACGACGTGATGTTGACGGCTCGATTCGTGTTCAAGTTGATCAGCGACTTCTCCGGGGCCACGTCGTTGAGGATGTTCTTGATACACACAGGCAAACGAACGCTGTTGAAGTTGTTGCGAGCGAGAAACGCCGCCACTTCGTAGACCGACGTGCCGTTGTCCATGTTCTCCCACAGCCCAAATGGAATGGCCAGTCCCGTTTCCATGCCAAACCAGTTGACGCCTTTGATCCCCACGGGCACTTCCGTGCCGTTCTTGGACACGGCAATGATTTTCCCCTTTTTGCTCTGGTAGTCGGGCAGCTCACAGCCCATGTCGGGGTACTTCTTTGGGTTCCCCACCTGTCCGTCGTCCGACATGAGCACCTTGTCGTCGTCCATCCCGTCCTTGATCTTGCGCCGTCTCGTTTGTTCCCGCTCAAAGGTTTCGTGGTCGGCTTTCATGAACTCACTGGTCTCCATCGCCTGCTTGACAATGACAACTGCTGCGCCGCCGAGCAGCAACAGCAGGAGCAACAGCCCCGGCCACGTTCGAATGCGGCCCTTGTAGTCCTTTGTCCGCTCGGGCGGCAGGTCATCGAACTCGGCAGCTTTGAGGCGCATTTCTGTCTGGCGATGGCCATACGTCGAGCTCACGCGTCCGCCACTCTCCGTCAGGCGCTGCGCCTGCGACGCTTCGAGGCTCAGACTGAATTTGCCGCTCGAGTAGTCGCTCAATTGGCTGTGGCTTCGGGTCGCCGACACTGGCACGTCTTCGGCCGCACTTTTGCCCACAGGCCGAGACACTTCCATCCTACGCACAACGGGTCAAGTCGAGTTCGAACCCCACGTCGTTTAGGCAGAAGGCAAAGTGAGCGGATAGAGGCTGTCGCGCGGCGCCAAAGGTGAGCGTTCGCGAGGAAACGAATTTCAGAAGTACTTTTGTCGGATTCGGTTGGTGTGTGTGTTTTTTATTTCTGAAACGACTGCGGACAGGCAATGCGCGACGTTTGCCGCGACGTTTGCCTTGCGTTTCTGTGGTCCTGACAACAGATAAACTTTATTCAGCCCAGAGAGTGCATGAGCAAGTGGTGCTGTGCTCCTCTCTACAGGAGGACGGACCTACGCGAGTGATATACGCCGTGAGACGAAAGGTCGCCCACGACTGTCGCGCGGGAACTCTTTTTTTGCGTGCGCATGTGACTTCAATGGGTTCACGTCGAGCAGTAATGGTCAGAGAGGTTGGATCAGCTGGGGTGAAGAAAAACGGACCGAGTGGTTTCGCTGCATTCGTGCGCAACTCCTCTTTGCAGTCGCTACGAGCACTACATACATCGCCAACAACAACCACAAGTCGCCGCACGGGGACTTGATACGGAATATAAGTACGTCAATGCCTAGCGGTCTTTCACAGCGCCCAGTGTCGGCATGTCCGCTATCAGTGCTTCGAGGGAGGGGTCAATTGCACAGTCCTTTTCTTCCGTCCAGAGTGTCTGAGAAACGATCGAAAGGGTCGACTGAGTCTGCACACGGTGTGGCTTGCGGTGCATTTGACTTTTCCACGCCCGTCGTCCACGTGATGGGACTGACTGACTGACTGACTGACTGACTGATGACGCGCAGGTTCACTCCGACGAGACACAAAAGCTCGCACGTGACTTCACACTGTTGCAGTGACGGCGTCTTCTCTTTACAAGTAGCCATCCATCTGGTCCACACACACACTCTTCTGCATGACCCTTCGCAACGTCTCTCATCTCCAGCTTCGTGTCTGTCATCTCTACGTTGCACGCGTCCCCTTTTGCTGTCGACGATACGTCAGGGACCAAATGTACCACACGCAGTCGGGCGCTTCTAGTCACACTAACCTTTTTTTGACTCTGGAACGTGGCGAGACTCGCGCTAGTGTCGGCACATCCTCCGCCTGAAAACGAGAACCGAGTGTCTTCTTTACACTGTGACGTGTGATCGTGTCTCTGGAAGCGATGTCCTCGACAAGTGCCAGCAAATTACAGACAGCCTTCCAGCATCCGGTTGCCAGTCGATGTTGTCACTAGTTGTTGGGTCCGCACAAGTGCTCGGATCGAATATCTCAACGGTTTCCTAGCGCTTTGCCTACCGTCCGACTCGTCGTCTGCATCTTTTAGCACATTGTATCTCCACATCAAATCGAACCGACGCGAGTGCAGAACGTTGCGCTCTTCTACTGCATTTCAGTGTGCGCTGAAGCGTGTGCGTGGTGGTGCTCTGGATCTGTTGCGTGCGAATAAGCATCACAAAGCTTGCGTGTCATCGCGGGCTGAGCTGCAGTGATTAATGTGCCGTGACTGCCAACGACGGTACTGTCGTTCGCTGAGCTCGCGATGGACACTGTTGAAAGCACGTTGTGCGTGTGTGATCAAAAACGGCTTATCAACGACACTAGTGCTCCTTTCGGAGTGCGCTTGGGCAGTTATTTGTACAGATTCAGCGACGCGTGCCCGAAAAGGGCTGTAAGCTGTCCGATCACCACAGATCAAAGCCGTTTCGAGCATCGAACGGCAATGAAGTCCCAGTTGGTTTCAAGAACATCACCACCTTTTCTCTGCTATGGACACTGCAGATGCCGTGACCACCTCTAGACTCTGGCAGAAAACATGGGCATGGACACTTTCTTGGCTCAAGTGCAATCAATGAGTTACTTTTGTCCGTCTGTGTAGTCCTCGACTCGAGTAAAGTCGCTTAGTATAGTGACGGCAAGTTGAGCCACCGACGTCAGGTTAGCGATCACAAGGTGTCGAGACGCGCTTTGCGTGTGTCAGGTTTAGTTGTTCCGAATGTGTAAATGTGATACACAGAGGCCCAGAGCTGTGAGCTGTGAGCTGTGAGCTGTGAGCTGTGAGCTGTGAGCAATGCATCTCCCAACACTTTTGGGCTATCACATCGTAAGATTGAGAGCGTCAAACAGAACGACAACCAACTGCTCCGCAGACGCTCCATGCCTCACTCGGACGTCGAGCTACCCGCCACCTCTACTTTGAAGCACGGAAACATCTTGTGATCCTTGAACTTGTCCATAACAGCCATGCCTTCCACAAACACCTTGTTCGGTGTGAGCCAGTCGTCCTCGAGCAGACCTTCCGTGAAGTGACCGTGAGTGTCGGCCGGATTGAACTGGTACGCGCTCTCGGGGTTCAACGACCACATGTACCCTCCTGCATATCCTGCTTGGAGCATGACCTCAAGCGTAAAGTCAGTCGTGCGCTTCGTCGTGAGCATCGGGTGGGCGTCTTTGCTGTACAGTCCAGCGAACTCGCCCATGACCATCGCCGTGTTCGCGTCCTCCGTCAGCAAGTAGCCAAACATCTTTTCCATCGTCTTCTCCACGTTGTTGCGCAGCGTCTTGTCGTCGAGCTCGACATAGTCCACTCGCGTACCCTCCTCAGTCTGAGTGCCGCCGTCGTAGAAATACCACGTCGGATTCACGCCAGTGTTGTAGTAGTGCGGGGCCCACACTAACTTGTTCTTGACTTTGAACGTGACGGGGTTCGCACCAGCGTCGGCCAGCCCTCCGCCCCACCAGTCAAAGTAAGTGTCCTCTTTGCCATTCAGCGTGATCGTTCCGTTGGAAGCGATGCCCTCGACGAACGCCAGCCAACTCGGACAGCCTTCCAGCATCCGGTTGCCAATCAACGTCGCTCCCTTTTGCCAGTCCGGTGCAGCGCCGCCCCAGGAACACTCGTGCGGCTCGTTCTTCAGGTCGAGGCCGAGGATGTTCCAGTACTTGGACCCGCATAGGTTCTTGGTCAGAATGTCCACTGCTTCGAGGAACTGGTCTTCGGTCACGCCGAGCTCTTTACTGTACCAGGCGCCGCCCGATTCTTTCGTCACCAGCGTATGGAGACTGATCATCACGGAAATGTGGCGGTACCCCAGTGCTTCGACGATCGACTGGATCGTTGTGATGTACGACGTGATGTTGACGGCTCGATTCGTATTCGTGTTGATCAGCGACTTCTCCGGGGCCACGTCGTCGAGGATATTGGTAATGCATAGCGGCAAGCGGACGCTGTTGTACTTATTGCGAGCGAGAAACGCCGCCACTTCGTAGACCGACGTGCCGTTGTCCGTGTTCTCCCACAGCCCAAATGGAATGGCCAGTCCCGTTTCCATGCCAAACCAGTTGACGCCTTTGATCCCCACGGGCACTTCCGTGCCGTTCTTGGACACGGCAATGATTTTTCCCCTTTTGCTCTGGTAGTCGGGCAGCTCACAGCCCATGTCGGGGTACTTCTTCGGGTTCCCCACCTGTCCGTCGTCCGACACGAGCACGTCCCCGTCCGCCAGTCCGTCTTTGATCCGCCGCTGCTGCCGCGACGCGCCTTCAAACGCTGCCGCTCTATTGTTCGCCGCCTCGTTCACGTCCATCGCACTGAGCGTAATCAGCGCCGCCGCGCCCCCTACAATGAGCAGCAAGAGCAGCAGTCCCGGCCACGTCTGGATGCGGCCCTTGTAGTCCCGCGTGCGCTCGGGCGCGGCCCCAAAGTCCGGTTCCACGGCCAAGAGCCGCATCTCGGTCGGCCGCTGCCCGTTCGGTCCGTACATGGAGCTCTCGCGCTGCTGGCCGCCCGACTCGGTGTAGCGCGAGGGGTCTGTGGCCTCGTGCGTGTAGTACTCACTGTGGCGGAACGTCGCGGGCGTCTCGACGCTTCGCCGCGGGCGGAAGACCTCTGCCGTGTCGGTCATGACCGTGTCAAGCAATAGAGAGAGTAGTGACGAGGGCTTCGACTAAGCTGTTGTTGTTGTTGTTGTTGTTGTTGTTGTTGTAGTAGTGGGGAAGGAGTCAGTGAATGGGTACACTGAACAAAAAGGGATTGCAATGGCGACAAGAATGGGGTTTAATTTGAGTGGCATGGGAGAGACCCGTCTGACGCCGTGGCTGGACAGAGCCAGGCGGCGAAGAACAAAGATGTCGGGGAGGGGGGTGTATACAGTGTGTATACACGCGGGTGGCCGTGCGATCGAGGTGGGTTTATTACAGAGGCGCTTTGTAGCGAGTGCGCGTTGATGTTGACTGGATATTGCATGCGTACGCACGTGTTGGTGACTACGTGTTCACTTGATGGATCGGTCGATAATACACGAGCGACTGCTTGGTGCTGTTTTGGTCAAGGAGCGAGCAAAACATCTGTTGTCACGCGGCTGCGATTGCAGCTGCGACGTAGCGGGAGGGAACAATAGACAATCGATTGGGGTAAATATGGTTGGGAATCCATGGCGATGCTGGATACTCGATATGTGACACGCGATTGCAGTTCGGAAGCACCGATTGACAGCGCTGTTCGAACGTGTGCTGTGTGTCGTGCGCTCGTCCGACGCTATGCTGCCTTTATCCTACTTCGCGACAACATGCGCATAGCGACCACATACGCGGATCGTCCTGCAATGCATTGACAATGTCCTTGCGTCGTGCATTGCGTGTGGATGCACTCGTCTTTTGCTATCCTGCATTTGTCTCGTTATCCGAGAATATCGGCCTAGTTCAAGCATACGCGAGCGTCAAATGATGCTTCTGCTTAAGCAGTCGACCCTGCGCAATCCGGCTTTTTGCTGCTTGACGCAGGTCACATGCTTTATCTGTCTCCCACGCTCCTCATGGAACGACACTGGCTCGCAGTTGCTATAGCGAGCACTGCGATTCGAAGTATCACTCAGATGCGTACAAGATGCGACAAGTTCGGAGCTGCCACTGAACCGATGGGATACAGCCACTTGTCATAGTATCAATCTGAGCATCTGTGTATCTTTCTATTATCTTCTATCGTCGATTGTCTTGTACATGTACAACCACTTGCTGCTGCACCAATGACTCTGCACGTGTTGCACCACTCTCACTCGTCTGCTTCGCAATAGAGCTGCTCGAGGTCGTCGCTGGCAGACTCTTCACCGTGAGATTACTTTTGCCCACTCCTTTGCTCGAAGAGGACCGCTTGCGCTCTTGCTTGGCCTGTTCCACACGAGCACGCACAGCTTCCAGCGGCGCGTAGCTGGCGTTATCCATCAGCGGTAGCATTGCACGGCGTAGACTATTGTACATATCGGGGTACAGACTCTCTTCCTGAGCAAGCATCTTCTTGACGCGATGGCGCTCTTTCGGTTCCTCGAAACAAGCGGGACAGTTCTCGTTGATCACGGGCAAACACGAGTCGTACGCAAACTTCTTCAGCTCGATCTCCCGCACGTACGCCAATGGACGAAGCACCTCCACGTCCTGCTGGTCGTTCCAGTACTTCGCTTTCATCGTACGCAGCTGGCCGTTGTGCATTGCCGACATGAAAAAGCTCTCCACAAGATCATCCAGGTGCTGAGCCAGCACCAGCTTGTTGAACCCGTGTTTGCGGCAGCACGTGTACAGAACGCCGCGCTTCATGCGCGAGCAGTAGCTACACAGCGAGTCGCCGTTCATTTCACACATTGCACGCTCAATGATGTTCTCCGACAGATAGTAGTAAGGCACGCCCAGCGCACGCATGTACGCCTTTAGCGGACTCGGGTCGAACGATGGCGTCTGCGGGTCTACGGTCGCACAGGCGAGTTCGAAGCGGATGGGAGCGCGCTTTTGGAAATGCAACAGCACGTGCAGCAAGCTGAGAGAATCTTTGCCACCCGACACACCTAGCAGCAGTCGATCTCCTTCATGGATCATATTCCACTGCATCATTGCCTGGCCCACCCACCGCACGAGCTTTTTCGGAGGTGTTGGGAACATCTTCGTAGCAGTTGTCTTTTCAGTAACCGCTGTCAACGTTTTCTGCACCGTAGCAGCAGTCGTGCTGATCGACCGTGTTGGTGCTGACCGCACTCCATTGACATCGCAAGAGCTAGAGCCTAAGTTACAGCTCGCGGTAACCCTCGAAGCAGCAGGTGTCTCGACGGTCTCACTGGCACTTGTTCGGCGGAGCGGATACTTGCCTCCCTTTTCACGGCCGTCAGCTTCGATAGTCTCTGTGAAGCAGCTGCTACCATCAACAGATTTAGCCGAGCTTGATGCAGCGAGACTGCGCGTCGTCGTGCCACAGACGGGAACAGGGACAGCGCTACAAGTGGATGCATCTGTCCACTGGTCAATCAGTTCACCCGTGAGATAGCGAGCGGGCTGGAAGGGGCCACAGATACTCTCTGACAGAGCAGGTTTCTCTCCTTGCTTGATTGCATCGACTGCCTCTGAAGGGTACACGAACCATCGAAGCGCCTCATCTTCCGCCTCTTCAAGCATCTGTGCTGCAGACGCTGCAACCACATGACGCAAAACGCTCTTCTCATCCACTTCGCTCGCCAATCGACGCGCCTCAGCCAAGTTTCCCGCACGATGAGCAGCCAGTGTCTCGATACCCTCATCGAGCTTCGTGGACCGGGTCTTGTCCTCCAGTGGTGTGGCAAAGTGAGAGATCCACTTTCGATCCGGGAACTTAGTGAAGCGAGTCCAGTGCTTCCACACACCACTCTTGTGGTTAAACTTGTACTGCGGCAAAAACTTCCAGCCATCAGTTGCCACAAAGTCGACTGCTGCTAGCGCGTACTCGACTTCCTCGGCACTCAGGAAATACGGAAAGCTCATCCGAGTGAATCCAGGGCGCAGCATCTCCTTCTTCTCAATCAGCGCATGCTCGAGCGCCAATACATCACGACGTTCAAGACCCAGTAAGCGAGTCGCGTACGGACCAGCGCACTGACAGCCGCCGCGCGTCTGAATGCCAAAGAGATCGTTCAGCAGGGCGCATACGAAATTGTAGTGCAGGAAGCGACGGCCGAACCGCACGAGGAACGAAAACACGGGCAACTGCTCGACTTGATCGCCCTGGCGTCCCAGCAGCACAACGTGCTCATTCTGATTGAGCACCTCACGCACACGCCGGACATTGCGTTGTTCCAACGTCATAATGTGCTTTGCGCCGACTCGCTGCTTAAGCTCGATCGCAAGCCCCAGACGGATACTGCCAATGATATCCGGCGTGCCGCCCTCTTCCCGCTCGGCGCGGTTTGACAAGTATCGATGGTCGTTCTCCGTGACGAAGAACACAGTGCCCCCTCCAGGAACCGTAGGCACAGCGTTTGTGAGCAGCCGCTTCTTGACAACGAGCACCCCGGGCGAACCGGGTCCACCGATAAACTTGTGTCCAGAAAAGTACACAGCATCTTTATAGACAAACGGACGGCGCGCTGCGTCCGCCACGACCGGGTTCATGTCAATGTCCACGTAGGGAGCACAGGTCGCATAGTCCCAGCACGCCAATGCCCCGTACTGATGCAGCAGCGCCGTCACGGCGTCCACGTCGGTCCGCACGCCCGTCAAGTTGGACGCGGCCGAGAACGCCCCAATCTTCAGCGGACGATCGGCAAAGCGCTGCAGCTGCTGCTCGAGCGCGTGCAGGTCGACCTGTCCCTGTCGCGTCTCGCGGATCGTCACCACGTCGGCCGCACTCTCCCGCCACGGCAACAAGTTCGAGTGGTGCTCGAACGGACCCACAAACACGACCGCTTCAGTCGTCTTCGAGCGGTCGCGCGCGAGCCCCAACGCCTCCACGAGCGTCACGACTGCACTGGTACTCCCGTGGCCGGTAAACAGCACACAGTCCTCGGCGCCTCTCCCAGTGATCTTGGCGTTCACGGCCTGGGCGACCACCTGCCGCGCCTCGTGCCGGAAGCACGTGGACTGGAGCCCCGTGGCCGACGTCGTCGTGTGTGTGTTGCCGTAGAGCGGCAGTACCTCCTGCACGAGGTACTCTTCGATGCAGTGCAGCGGTTTGCTGCTGGCGGTAAAGTCTGCGTAGCACAGCGCACGCGGGCCATAGGGCGTCGCCACGAGCGTCCGGCGGCCCACGACGTTGCGCGCAATGAGAGTCACAGTGTGCGCGGCGAGCGCAGAAGGCGGCGGCAGTGGGTCGCCACGTGCGGTCGGGAGGAGCTGCGGGTGGAAGGGCGCGCCGGGCGCCGCGCTGTCGTCCTCGAGCTCGTCGCAGAAGAAGCGCGCGGACGCGTCTGGCAGTGCCATTCGATTTCGTTTGACTGGAGCGGAGGAGCGACGGCAGAAGTGGGTACAGTGGTGGGGTGTGGCGGGCGCAACGTACGCGCAACATTCGACGATTGGGTGGGTTTTTTGTGGGTGGGTGGGGGCGAATGTCGAATGGGGAGACGGCGCGGGTGGGGTGGATAGTCGGCATAAGCGAGAGCATGAGGGTTTTTCTCTCGCTATGTTTTGTGCGGCGCAGAACAGGATAAGACGTTTGGATATCGCGTTGGTTTCTATCCCTGATACATGTGAATAGAAACGTCGGTGGATTGTGGAACTGCAAGAACCGGTTCGATGTGGACCGGAACTGACTGACCTTATCAGCGCCGTCTTTTAGACCGGAGGAAACCGGCTCTGGTGTTGATACAACCGATAAGAAGAACCGGTCTCGCAACAATCTGCAACTACCATGTAGGCTGAAGGACCAAAATGGTTGCGGAAAGGAGAGATGGATAGCGGTCAGCTGGGTACTCATCATAGGCGACTACGATGCCGACCACACCGAATACTAATGAATACATCCTTTTGTGTACGTGCCGGTATTGAGCGCAATCGGTACGCAGGATGTTCATAGTACTATTGCGAGGAACCGTGAGACAACGAGCATAACAGCGGCTTTATTTCTGTTGACGTCATCTAAAACGCAAAAGTGTATTACGCAAAGCACATTGACTTGCTGGAATGATTGATCGTATCATTACAATCATTACTAGTGTACCAAATTTCACAAGGGCAAGCGGCGTACCTTTTTTCGTAAAATATCTCTCAAAGGCACTGGAAGCAATCACGTCAGCGAAAAGATCGTTCACACCGGCACATGATCAACGTGCCGATTTGAAGCTGACTGGTCAATTTGTCAGCTACATTCGGTCATTCAGTGTTGTTGGACGTGCGGACTTTCGCAGATGTTCGGTCGCTTTGCTCTTTGATGATCCAGTATCGTGCAGAAACGTGATGGAAAAAATATGTTCATCGCGCGATGAACTATGCAGACAGATCTTGTTCGACACGAGCTTAGTCAAGACATTACAGGAGTATTAGCTATTGATCTGGGAATCCCCTCGTCGAAGCGCAGCTTATTGGCTGTCGTAGCTCATTATTCCGATGACGAAAGTGATTATATGAACATTGTGACTGCATACATTCACGCTTTGTGCCCTCGCACTGAAAAGCATACTACATCAATGGGTAAAGCTGTGAAGAGCACGCTTTTTACGCATGCGCAGAGTGTCTGTATAAGAATGCGTTTGCGTTCCGTTGTTTCTAGTACTTCGAGGTGATATGGAGACTGAGTACATTTTATGGCGTTAGCCGCTAGGGTGCCTACGGGCACAAGCAGGATAATTTCGTCCGCACGTACCTTCCTCCGATATCAGCGCATGAAACCCCGTTTTCACACAACAAATTGATATTTTCTCGTTGCAACAACACTTATCGACAAACAGGTCCATGAAGTAAATTCTATCAGTCTGGGCGGTAACAGCAAGGGCTGCTATCAGCAATACAACCATCATTAGTTGTATCTACAAAATTGAGCAGCAAACTATCAATGAAAACTTGAGGTTATTACACTTGGGTATAGATCCACACTTTATAGGTATGCGTGTCCTGTGTCGTAGCGGGCTCATGATTCAGTGTAATATGGAGGACGTTGATGGGGAGCTGGCAAGTGTCAGCCATCAGCAAAAATGCCTAGCTTATGTTTACCCTAGTAAGGAGTACGTACGTTTAAGTATTCAGACGGAATAAGGACCTGTATACAATGCACACATAACAGTGAGTTCGTTTTTCATATTACGCGCCTTGTTTAGACGGACTCGTGTGCGCCAGATGCTATGATTTATTTACAACGTTGCTTAGTGAGCTTGTTGACCCCTTCGTTCGTTTGTTGGCAGAATCGTGTTCTTTTTATGAGCTAATCGTATTTATGAGCTTACGCCATCTTTCGACAAGGATCCGCTGTAATCCGCAACATCTGGTGGTGCTTGTATTCCATCTACGCCCGATCTTGTCGAGACTGATCCTCTGCTTGAATCATCACTTTTCTCATATTCCTGAGGCATAATGAGGTGCGCAACAAAGCTGACCGAAAGCGATGGCTCAGAGTATGTGTCATATCTTGTACCGCAAGGACTAGACCCTCCAACGCCATAATAAATGCGAGTCTTCCCTGCTAGGGCAGGTCCTATGCCAAATAGTGTGGACTATATAACGACACTTTGTGTCTAGCTCAGACGAAACCGCCAAGTATCGCCAGCGCTTCTAAAGTATTATGACTTTAAACAGGTAAGGTTGGAGAAACACATTACCCTTTTAACCTAGCGAATTATATGCCATGAGATCTTAAATGCTCTGTTCGGATCATCAGCGTGTACATCTCGCGATATCTACGCTATCTATAAGCGCAATAGAATAATCCCTAACATGTGAACCGTCCGTTTATACTGCATTACGAAACTTTAATCGCAAAAAAGCTATAGCTCTTACGAGTATGCGCACCCTTACTACGAATATCTCGTGTCATCACTCTTTTATCGACCCTGCATGGTAAAAAAATATCAAACAAAATATTCGTAAGAGTATAAAAGACTCATGGCTACTATGTAAACTTTTCTCATCATGCGCTGGCCCATGTAATCTTGAAAGATTTTTGTACTGGTGTCGTCATTCCCAACGTCTTCCGTTTACATCCGTTTAAATCTTACAAGATATCGGTCAGAACAGCACTGATGAGCGTTCAATTGATGTCTTCTAGACTCGGATGAAAAGAGGATAATTTTAATATTTATGAGCTCACTGGCTTTTTTCAAGCCTATATACATGGAACTCAGCGTTGCTGAAGGTCAACCAAAACACACGCAATTAACGGCTGACAGAAACAATTCAAATGCCGGTGTCATTCGCGCAGAAGCACAAACCGCCCACATTCGTGGGTTGTTTGTCCGGTTTTACTCAGTTCCAGGCTCCCAGAAGCCGTATCACGACTCATACCATGAGTCTGGAACGGCGCGTAAAAATGTCAGTTTCCAGCAGGCGTGGGGTGACCTACAGAAAATAAGGAGGTTCTAATGCGCCTCGACGAGGTGGAGCTTTACAGAGCTTATTTTCACAAAACTCGGTACTCGATAACACATAACTTGTATGCAAGTCAAGCTTTCTTGTCAAGAAAGCGACTGTTGACTGGTTAGTAGGACTTGGGTAGATTCAGTCCATTAAAAAGCATTGGGAACCAAGCTTGACGTTCTTTTTCAGAAGAAGCCAGATGTATTTCGAGGCGCTAAAAGCAGGGTATTGATAGTATGATCGTCTAAATGGCAACAAGAACGCGTGTCGCACAGTCAAACGTGTCGATTGATCTAAGGATAAAGTTGGCGGACTTTGATATTGCAGAATGCTGCTTATCCTTGACTAGGACAAGAGATATGATCTCATTTTCTAGTTTGAATGGCTGAGATGCCAAATTACATGAACTGGTTGTAGATTCAAAACCTTAGGCGCATCTTAATATTCCTAGAGGATTCGCATAGGGTATTGGCTATCCCTCTCTACAAAGCAAAAGGACTGCTGACGCGACCCACTGACCATTTGGTCAGTACATTATACATCATATTGTCAGAGCTATCCACCCCGAATATGTCTAAGTAATTAGTCTTGAGCATAGATCAGGTACTGTTAGTTATACTCGATGTACTGAATAAGTCGCTGAGTTTAAAAGTATTTTAAGTCATTTGTCAAAGAATGTTGAGCCGATCTCTATGAATTTGAGCGTAGTGGATTCGTATAAATCACTACATGTCACTGAAAACATTGTTGAAAAATATTAAGGTGTTTCGGGGTATCTCAACTAAATGCACCTGGAGTGGCACGGATCTGAAATGTGAAATTTGTAAGTTATGAATATACCACCGTTTGTAGGTAAAGACATCGGTTCTCTTACAGGGCAGCTTTAGATTCTGTTATACTTCTATAATGTATATGATATCATTAATGGGATCGCATCTTTGCCGGGAGGCGGTTGCAAGGCACAAAGCGTCGTTTACAAAAAAGCAATATTGTTGTAGCACTGTACTGCACTAAACACACTTGTCGATAAGATGGCTGCAGCTATTAATGATAGTGTTATTCATAAGCCTGTTACCTCTTCAAATGATCTGTATAAGCTGTAAAAGTTTCATGTGCTGACTTTGTACAGGACTTCGTGGCAGACTACTATCCGCGTTGATGGTCGTTCCACACAAGCAGCACAATTTAATGCGCGTGAGTAAGCCCATTAATCGACGCTTACATTCTGTCATAGAAAACCTAAAGTCAATTGACGCGTTTTTCGTGCCCATGAATAGCTATTTGTTGCCAACATTTCGACTCAACCGCCGATTCCTAGAATGCACTTTATCGCCAGAACGTTGTTGTTAGCCATATCATGTTCATCTTTCTCGTCTTGGTCGATAATGAGTGCCAATTTATTATGCGAGCCATTGATGTTCCGCTGAAAGTGATCCTCACTATGGGTGGTATGGTCTAGGAGTGGCTTTATGCATAATGGTTATTGTTTGGTCAAACTACTTTGATTGTCATATAACAAACTTGTTCAGATCTCATCTAGGCTTTGCGCAAATGCAGTTCAATGACGTTTTATTCCGTATCAGTACAGAGAACGGTCGGTCTCATGTGGACAATCATTTCGATCATTTACAATTTGTGCTTATTTGCATGCGCACCGATAAGCTTTACGCAAATAAATTTAAAGGACACTTCTATCCGAGCTGATTCTTTTGGAGAGCGAGGGGTCAGAGCGGACCCCGCTTACGTCAAGGTCAATGCGTGCAGAATTTCTATAAACAGTCAAAGTACTCAATAAATTTACACGGACTTGTCAATTACTTACTTGCGTTTAATTAGAATCACGCGGACATGGCTGAGCCAATACTACATATCCTTCAAGCGAATGATTCCGGACTAGCCCGTAACTGACAATTTGAACT